CGCGGAGCCTCGGGAGCCTCGCGGAGCCTCGGGGGCCTCGGGAGCCTCGCGGAGCCTCGCGGAGCCTCGCGGAGCCTCGGGAGCCTCGCGCGCCCTCCGGCTGCGCCGCCTTCCTGGTCGCGTGCGGGTGGGGGGTGGATGATGGAGTTCTTCAAAAGCAAAACAGCCATCACCCGAGCCCTGCTTTTCTCTTCCAGCAACCTCGGGCACCTTAGGGGCCTGCTGCTGTTTTCCCATTGCAGACATGAGCACAGGAAAGCTTTTGGCTCGGCAGTGATGGAGCACTCTGAACACTAAGGTTCACCTGAGTGTTTTTAGCTTACCAAATCCTTCAGGCAAGTGTTGGAGTAAAGGAAGGCTCAAAGCTGCCCATGGTAGTTACGCTGTGGAGCTGTTTTAAGGTTCATAGATCAAGGAGCAGAGCTGAAAAGCCACCTGGTTCCATCAGCATGAGGATTTTGTTTTTCCTGTTTAAGTGCACAGATAGTTCTGCCACCTGTGTTTTAATACCCCTCTGAGAGCACTTGATGCACTTTAAGTACACGTGTCAACAGTGCAGTTGTGTCTGTAAGCACGTGGAGAACTGAAGCCTTTGGCCCGAGCTGAGCAAAGCCTCAGCTCCTTGTTTCCCAGCAGACTTCCACGACGCGCTGCTGTTCTCCAGCACGGCTCCACACCGGTGGCACGGGCACGAAGCCAGGGCTCCCTCTCTGGAGCGGGGCTCAACGTGAAATGTGAGCTGCAAAGTGTCTGTGTGTTTCCTCTCTAGTGTCTGCAGCGAGGCGCTCGGTTACTTCCTTACACTTACATCAGAAAGTCACCGGGAAGCCTGGACTAACCTGCTGCTCCTGTTTTTGACTAAGGTCCTGAAGATAAGTGATGAAAGGGTAAGTAACTGTTCAAAAAAATACCCTGCTTGAAACAGTGATTCAGTAAACAAATAGTTCCAGGCTAGGTTTTTTTGCATGCAGTTGTAGACTTAATTTTAAAGACGACTGCTGTGTAGATCAAAAGGGTCTATGTTGAAGGAATCTGTGTTGTGCTAAAACAATATGTATCTGAGAAAATATTAAAGATGCTGAAGTCCTTTAGAAAGTTAAGTTGATTTTACATCTTCCCTGCTGAGGAGAAGGATTAATGGCTGATATTTGATGTGAAATGTTTGGAAATGACTTCTATGCTTCCTGTGCTACACGTAGTTCGCATAGACCTTCACCAAGTAACAACTACTTAGCACCTGTACTTAGATCTTCCTCTATTCCAGAGAGAACTTTACTGAAATATTAAGTGCAGGGGACTAACTGCAACATCAAATTTAACCGATCAAGGAAAAACTTTCCCTTGGAGAAAATAAGGAGTAGCAAAGATCTGTGCGTAGTTACTGAGGATTTGCCAAAATATGTCAGAGCTCGCAGGCCTGTTCTGGCATTGCCAGCTGCACTCGCAGGATGGTTTTGCTCCTCCCTTTGTGGGTTTCTCGCTTTGACTTGGCAGAGCCTTTACAACTCTTTGCTCCCACCAGGCTTTGTGCAGATGCCCAGTGCCCACGGTGAGTAAATAACCGCCTTTCTCTTCCTCCCTGGCTCAGTTCAAGGCCCACGCGTCGTTCTACTACCCGCTGCTGTGCGAGATCATGCAGTTCGAGCTCATCCCGGAGCTGCGGGCCGTGCTGCGCCGCTTCTTCCTGCGCATCGGCGTCGTCTTCCACATAGCGCCGCCGCCGGAGCCGGGAGCCGGCCGGCAGTAGCAGGCGCTGCCGAGCGCCGCCCCCGGCCCGCGTTGGATTCCGCAGCCCAATAAAAGGACCAGCGAGCTGAGCCCTTCCGTGTGGGTATCCCTGACGCGGCCTCTCTGTCGGGCAGGGGGTACCCGCGGGCGGACGGTACAGATGCTTGCAACTGTGTTTAAGGCTTGCGCCGCTCCAGTCCCTTTGTTTTCCGATGGATTTTTTTCCAGGGGTTTCTGGGCCCTGGCTCCTGCTGGGCACAGAGCCAGTTCTTAGCACAGCCTCCTGTCAGCATGGGCTGCAGTGTTCCCCTCTCCTGTCCTAGGCAGCAGAACAGCAACAGATGCTTGTGGCGGGGGTGGAAGGGAAGTACCCAAAGAGCTATACGTGTAAAAGGCTTGAGCTTCTGCAAGAAGTACAACTCAGGAGAGCTGTATTTTGAAGGGTAAAATGTTTATAGTAAAAAGAAAATGGAAATTATTGTTCATGGCAAAAGATATTTAGCAACTATGTCTGATATTCAAAGATTTTTGCACACTCAGGCTGTCTGAGACATTGGTAATCATCTTTCTGTGAAAAATGTACAGAGATGCAGGTCTGTAATATAAACTCTTTAACACTATACAGTTCTTCCTGAATTATTTTATTTCTGTATTATTGATTTGCTGAAAACCCATAACACTTTATTGTTTACCAAATGCACTAGGAGTTTGGGTTTATTTTTGGGGTTGTGATTATTTTTCTTTTCTCTTTTTTTGGTTTTTGTTTCATTCTGTTGTAGCCCAGCAGTTAGCGTTGCTGTCAAGAACAGAGATAGAAATATCACGACTGACATAACTACCTGTAATATACTTGTTTTAGGGCTTTTAAATATAACGAGCCATTGAAATGATGATCCTTCGAGGACTGGAACTTGAATCACTGCAAACAAGTCTAGGTTGTGTCTGCTGTCACACGTTTTTTTGTTTGATGTAGATTTCACTCTTATGTACAGAATTTAATGTTGAATATATTGAAGTAACAAATCTGGCATGGTTTGGGGATGGTTAAATTTATTGGAGATGTATTCATACTGTGAATTGTGCTCTGATGGTTAAAGACAAGATTGTCAAGCATTCTGTATTACAATGGATGTAGAAATTTTTTTCAGATGGACAAAATGTATATGGTACAGATATGTAAAGTTTTCTATGTAAAAAAAATTCTGTACAACTTTCTGTACAATATTTGGTTCTCATCTGGCATATTCTAATCAGGTTATAGGTCAATAAAGTTTTTGAACTCTTTCATCAGTGCAATCAAAACCAGTCTAATCTACAGCTACTTGTTTTACAGTTTCCTCTGGTGCCTTTCACATCTCTCCTGCTTCAGAGAAAGGAGCCCCAAGTGTTGGGGGCAGGCAGACCCAGTCGCTGCCTTGGAGTAAATGCCAGGAGGTGACAGCATTTAGTGAGGTGTGAAAAGAGTGAGCGGGAAGGGAAAAAGGAGGAGGAAGTAGAAGGAAAAGTGTTGGCAGGGCAGTGGCACTGCTGCAGTGCACCACATCTTACAGCACAGGTGAATGCAAATTGTGCTGCTCACCTTCTGGGGCTTCGGATATTTAACTCTTTAAGAAGGCTGAGAGTGCTGGCTGTGCTGGTGCCTTGGAACACTGCAGGGGCCCTGCTGCTGTCTCTGGGTTTTTGCTCAAGTCCAAGGGCAGGTTGTGGCCATCTCTGAGCACAGGAGTCGCCCAAGGAAGCGACGCAGGGAGCTGCCTGCGCTGGGCCAGGCAGAGGCAGCAGAGGAAGGCCGAAGGGCAGCCCGCACAGGGCAGCTCTTCCATGGGGCCGAGCAGGATGCACCTGCCTTTAGCAGAAAGCCTGAGCTTTAAAGCATTTATGTAATATGTGGGCTGGGAGGCCGAGGAGGCCTTTTCTTCACCCAGTCTGTCCACTCTAATCATGAGAGAAGATTCTTGACAGAGCTTCACCTCCGCATAGTTCAGTTTCTTAACTCCTAAGAAAATGGTGCTTTCACCTACACTTCATGCCTGTTAAAACCCTGTGCTTCTACTCAGCAGCTTTTCAAGGTTTTTTTTCCTGCGTCAAAATCCAACTCACCATCTTTGTGACTGTGGTGGGCTGGTGCTGTTGTGGCCAGTTCAGGACCAAAGATAAACGAGAAGAAAACTGAAGTCTTTTAAATTTTAGTAACAAAATAATTTAATAACTTTAAATCAGAGCCATAAATTAAATATATGCAACAATATCTGCATTTCCAGCACATATAGATTAGAGAACATAAAATACAGCACTCTAATATGTATTTTTTCCATAAAACTCTGCTTCCTGAAATTTCACACAGGATACCAAGTTACCACTGTATGAAAAGCAAGTGCCCTTTCCGGTAATTTATGCTTTTGGTTAAACACACCCAAATGTACCAGCACATGCAGAGATTAAACTCTGCTGCTGGATAAATATTTCCAGCTAGTTCTGGAGTTCAAAGGGCTAAAAAGAGAGCTAAAAAACTAAGCTTTGATTTAATATCAAATTCATACACACAAACACTCGCACTCTGCAAGTCTAACGTACAAAAAGTGCAAAAAATGCCCGACTCCTTCCCTTCCCTCCATAAAAACACCTTGTGCAAGGGCCTCCCTCCCCACGGGGCAGCCACCCCGCGGGCTGCTGCTTTATTATTGCTTCAGGCCGCCCCGCGCTGCTCCCTGCGGG